GATTCAGAGCCAGTCGCTGGTAAGGAAGGACCCAGGCCATGTAGGTCAGTATAGGCCCTTCAGCTGGGCCGGCTTCATTGATACTGGCCTGCCTGGGTATATGGACAATGGGGACAGGTAGACTCCAGGGTCTGTGCTGGAACAGGCCTATAGGCAGCAGTAAAGTTGTCTCAGAAAAGAAGATTAAGGCTGTGTAGGTAAAACAAAGCCAAGGAGATCTTCCACGATTGAAAAGCAGGCAAGCCACTATCCCATGACTGCCTCATTGGATTTCATTTTGACATTCAGCGTGCTCTTCAGCTCTTTCATTAACTCAGTAAGACTTTACTAAGTGTTACGTGGAGTACAAGGTCAGTTCTATACAGAATACCTCAATACTGAAATGCACGTTGGGGAAATGACAGTTGGCGTTGGGAGGCAGTGATCCAAAACCAGAATTATATGTACAGTTTTGCTGTGCTTCTGGAGGGACTGCCAGACGTTGCTTTTTATCTTTAATTCTGTTGGCACAGTGTGATATATCTGAAGAGCCCACGTTTAGGGAACACTACAGTTGCTGTAACTAGAATGCTAAGCTGTCTTTGTAGCCCAAAACTAGGCAGTGATCCTGAATGTGGCCTTTTAAAAATAGTATGCAGATTAGGCACTGGAGGCCAAGCTGTAAAATGAGGCAGAATAAGATCATTTCTGTGATTCTGTTCATTTTTAGTTGTAATTAGGTGTGCAGAAGCATAAAATCATAGGGTTTTTTTCCAGAAGAGACTTGAGCTCATTCAGTCCCCTTGTTTAGGTTACTTGTCCAAGGTCAACCAGCACATTAATTGCTGGGTGGACACTGGACCCCAGCTGCCCTGACCTGGTATGGTGCTTAATGCCCTGTCTCACATTACCTTTAAGACAGTAGAGGAGTTCTAACAGTCAACAAAGTGAAAGGTTACAGTGAAAGAGCTGTGACAAGACCTTAGTTCTCCTCTCAGTCATGTCCTTTTTTTTTTTAAATTGTATTGTGCTTTAGGTGAAAGTTTACAGTGCAAATTAATTTCTCTTTCAAAAATCTATACACAAATTGTTTTATGACGTTGGTTGCAACCCCTGCAATGTGTCAGCACTCTCCCCCTTTCCCTGTCCACCCTGGGTTCCCTCCTGCCGTTCTTGTCTTTGCTTTTGGGCAGGTGTTGTCCATTAGTCGCATTCTTTTTCTGCCACAGCTTGCTGCCCCCGACTGAATGTGTGTTTTACATTCTCGGAACAGGGTTTCAAGAAATCACTTTATGTAGAAATAATTCTTAGCTTGTAAAGATATTTTCCCTATTACATGCCAGGTGCTTATAATAGGGTTTTCATTCCTTTCATTATAAAACCAAATGAAATTCATGGACACACTAAAGCTTTATGAACTTTAGCTTCCTGGATTCACCCAGACTCTGTAGTAAGAAAACAAAGTGTTTAGTGTTTGGAGAAGCCAGTGCTCCAAGTGACCATTTTGTTTCCCCTCAGCCTGCTGGTTAACACTTGCCACCATGGTCGTTTGGTTTCTGCCAGTCAGCTAGTTCACACTTGTCACCATTCTTGTATGGTTCCCCTCCACCAGCGGGTTCACACTTACCACCATGGTCACTTGGTTCCCCTCTACCAGCTGGTTCACACTTGGCTGCCAGTGCACATCGGTGCTGAATATGTGTCTAGGCAGCAGCAGCACTGAGAAGGTATTTTTTAAAATATGATAATTTGCTATAAAAAAAAAAGATGTGCCTCAAAGTAATCATCATGGAACAGTCACATTGTTGTTGGACTTTTTTAATATTATTCAGTTTTGTATTTTTTTAATTAAAAAAAAAAAGTACAATAAATCCCTGAATACCCTTTACCTAGATATTTCCCAGTTGCTCACATTTTGCCACATGTGCTTTCTCCCCCTCACTTCTCTCTCTCTCCACACACACACACTCTCACACACGTATATTTATGTATATAGTATACACATATATGCATAATTATATATGCATATATTATAATTAGTACTGTTATTTTGCTGAATCATTTGAGAGTAAGTCGAAGACATTGTTAGCGTTTGTTCCTAAACACTGCAGCATGTATTTCCTAAGAACAAGGACCTTCTCTTACATAATCACAATGCAGTTATCCAATCCAGGGAATTTAATATTGATGCAATGCTATTATCTAATATACAGTCCATATTCAGATTTTGCCATTTGTCCCTATTACGTCAAGTTGTGAGTTGCTTTTATTTTAATTGCATTGGCAGGAAGAGATGGGGGCCATGGTCTCCTCATTGGGTAGGGCTTTTGATGTCATATTCTGCACTGGTTTTTAGGTTTTTATCTCCTGGTCCCCCAGTAGGCAGTTATCAGACTGCTTCGGGAGCTTAGGTATACTGTGTGCATTTGAGTTGTAAGTGTTAAATAACAAGTCATATAGCTGATGTATCTCACAATATGGATATTGGATATAAAGATATGTTTTCATTTTCAAGGACTTAGAAATTATTAGATGGATTCCTTTACTACCAAACAAAAACCAGCCTATGTGCATGCATTACCAGTTTTAATAATATACCTTGGCCGTTTGACTAGAGATAAATGTCCTCAATTAAAACTACAAATGAGACCACTGCCTTAGCACCAGGGGGCAGAGTCGGGCTTGCTGAGACAGGAGAGTGGGGACTTTTCTAAACGGCGTTGCAAAGCTCCAAGCCCAGTGTTCCGTATTTGCGTTTTAATCATTTCACTCCTGATAGAAACATGCTCACTGCTAAAGTCGGTAATTAGCTGATCCTGATTTGTTCGCACAGTTAAGTCCCTGGCTTCTTCGGGCACCCTTTCCCTTAGCTTTGTGTGCATTCGCTCTTTCTCCAATGATAGCAAAAGAGAAACCCACTGTTAGCCTCATCAGGAGGTGCCTGCAAAAGCCTGAGGGACCAGTGTCTGTTTTCCTTTTAGCATATTCCACATTCACAAATAAAATGTCTTTGTGTCGTATTATGAATTTGTATAAGACTGTGTCAGCCTTAAAGTATTTATATAACATTAATGAATTAAAGAACCAAGGGGTGTAGATAGGATGCTGATACCTAGTTATCACTTGGTAGGAACTGGTTCAGCAAAGCGGTTTAAATTGCCTGGCCAAGCCAAACTACGGAGGTGCTTGCATTAGGACAAGGATTATAAAGAGATTATGGCCTATTTAAAATAAATCCTCAATCTCTCTCCAACCTCATTAGCAATTAACAAGGAAGTGTGAAGATGGGGATTTCTTTCTCTTCACTTGGTTCTCCATTGCATTGTAAGAGGTTAGGACACAATTAGGCACTCTGTCCATGCCATCAAAAGTCAACCTCCTCTGATGCTTGGCAGTCAGCCAGCTTCTTTGGTTTTGCGGTAGCTACCTCTTAGAATTTGTTCAGTACACCAGGATGTCTGATTTTCTATAGCTCTAGAATGCTTTCTGACAATTATTTTAAAACTATCTTCTCTTCCCTCTTCCATATTATCAGTAAATGGTCCTTTGGCCTTTTAGGTCTGGAAAATCAGATCCATTTCTGTTACTGGCAAGATCAATGACAACGTGGTCCTTTACTTGCTGGCGTTTTCTAAGCATGCTGGAGACACATCCATACTGAGACTGCCACATAAACAGAGTGTAGGACTCCATCCTATAGGAATTTAAGGTCTTAGGAAACGAAAATACTTCTGTGTTGCATTATTTCAGAAAGTCTGACACCTTAGAGTCTCCCTGTTACCCATTCTAGATGGCAGAGCTCTTGGCATATGCTGATCCAGAGGGTCCTGGCTGCCTTTCATGAGAGGCCCAATGAAGCTGTCAGGCTGTGGTCTCTAATCAGTCTCATTATGCGATGTCTCTCTCTCCCTCTTAGAATTGGATATCAGGATTCACATAATCTGCATTGCCCAGTGTTTTATTTGCCAAAGCAAAACTTAGTATTGATAAAACTATCAGGTAGGTCATTTAGGATTGACTTTCTGTCACATCGCAAGGGAAGCAAGTGCAGTCCCTATTTCGTTTGGCAAAACCCTGTCTCTTGTACTTTTTTGCTTGTGCAACTTTATGAGAATCGAGAGGCCAAAATAAAGAAAATGGCCTAATATTAAATAAGAGCTAAATGTGGATTTAAAGAAACACTGTCAGCCGGATTAAAACAAAGGCCTGATTACAACATTTATTTACTATAATTTAGTAGTAAACGTCCTTCAGCTGCAAGTCTTTCTCTTGTTTTCTCCATTTGTTTGTCAAGATACTTAAAATAATAAGTCCTTGTTTTTACAGACCTTGAGCTTATCCTAAACTACTTAGAAGGATGTGTCAGAGTGCTTGAAGTCCACAGACATAAAATAAAATGCCCAGTTTCTCTTGGCCCTCACATGTTGGGCATTTCCAAAGAGACAGGCTTAGCCACTGTAGCTAAAACACGCTTAGTAACTGGCACAGCACCTGCAGTCAGTTAGGGAAGCTTCAATTATCCAAACCAAAGCCACCCACCCCAAGATTAATTTTCTGCTCTATTTCCTATCAAAAACATAGCATATTTAGCTCTGGGTCTAGTTCTTCTGTGGAGTGCATTTTGGACATGTAAACGACATCATTTTCTTGTTAATTGTACTTGTTCCTTCAATTCAGCAGCTTTCCCTTGGTAATATCACGCCCACCAGTTCTTTCAACATTGTTCTTTTTCTGTTGTTTTGTTGCCTTTCCAAAATGCTGAGATCACAGAGAAAAGATGTTAGTTGGGAAGCTTTTCTTCTGAAGTATGGCTTTCTTTATTTTGTTGAAAATACCCAGTCTTGCCTTAGAGGATCTACCTTCCACAGCCTAAAAACTTTTAAATTCTTGGGTCTCTGAATTTAATAGCACTTGTAAAAGTTGTTTTCTAATTGTTCCATGTCACTGTCCCATGTAAGTACAAAGATTCCCCCACACCCCCACCGCTTTCTAAAGAGTTATTTTTCTGTTGTGTTTCTCAGAGAAGGAGCAAGCCATAAATCGGGCTGGCATCGTTCAAGAGGATGTGCAGCCACCAGGTAAACTTAAAAAAAAATCAAAACAATCTCATTTGTAGGGTGGTGTGTGTGTGTGTGAGTTTGCTTTGCTCTGGTGAATGAGAGGATGTTTTTAGCCTATGGGATAGATTCTGATTTTACTATTTATTTCATAGCAGTTACCACTTTATAGATGCCACCCCAAGACTTCATTTCAGTATTTCACTCCAGAATTGTGTTGGCAAGTTTTCCACATTCCTTTTTTGCATTTGATAAGTGGGCATAAAATATAACAAGTGTACAATTAAATATGAAGCGTGAATAGCTGTTTAGCAGACTTACTTACAGAGCACCTATTTAAACACTACCCTCATGGGAAAATACTGTTTGCTTGTGAGCTATTTTAATTAATGGAGCCTCTGCTTTACACAAAAGCTCAGATGCTCCCTTTATGGCTGAATGGTTATTTACTTTAAGATGATCCAAGTTGGCTAAGAATTGGAGATTTCCAGCTTATTAACCAAAAATCTTGTAATCTGTGGCAGCATTCTTCTTGTTCTTCTATTTCTTTTTTTTTTTTTTAAACTAGGCAGATACATATCTTCCTGTTGTGGGGTAATTTCTAAGCCGTTTAAAGTCCCCTGTGGCTGCCCTGCCTTCCCAGCCATTTTGGTCCAGGTTTCCGGCCACCTGCCTGCATTCTCTCAAATGACATGCAAAAAACACAGTTCAATTCTGATGGCATTTTGTTTGTTTGAGGTTGGGGGAAGTGGTAGGGAGTTTACAAATGAATCCTGTTTTTATTCATGTCTCTTTCCATAGGGTTAAAAGTGTGGTCTGATCCATTTGGCAGGAAATGAGAAGGCTATCACCAACTCTAATTATGAAAGTAGACATCTTCATGCTTTCAATTCTGGAGCAAGTATAAATCACCTCCTTGTGGTATGATGGCTGGTGAAGCAAACTCTATAATGCCATAAATGTGAGAACTTGTAATACAAAACTGTACACCAGGATTCATATCCCCTTATTTCCCTTCTTAAGAATCAAAAGAACACTGGAACAAATCTCAGCGTTAGGAAGTTTTTCATGATTCAGTTGACTTTCCAAAAATGAAGCTATCTCACCCAGCTGTGTTTGGAGTAGATTTGCTTAGTATTCAGTCTTTACCACTTACCCAGCTGAGCTGTGATATGAATATAGGCAACCAGTGAACTTCGGAAGATCCTCCAAGTCTGTTTTGCCATCTTCCAAATGAGAGATTTCCATGAAAAACCACCATGCTGAGCTGCCTCATAGGGCTCTTTGAAAATGTTAAAGTTGATAAAACTCTTTGATGACAAGAAGGTACTTTGTGCTCTTTAAGAATAAACAGTTCATCTTCACCGTCTCTTGTTGAGGATTGTGCCATGTTGGAAAATGATTAAATATGAAGCAGCTGAAGCTAAATTGGTATGCATGCATGGGAGAAATCAGTGTTGAATTAATAGAAGTGAAAGTGTGTGTATTAAAATGATTCATTTTTATTTCACAATGGTCCAGTTTTTTTGGTAAATCTTCCATAAGCTAAATTATACCAAGAAGCAATATTTGACTAGATAATATTTGACTAAATATTTGACTGTGGTGTTCATCTGCTAGTATACAAATAAAATAATTTAAAGGTAAATAGCGAATTTGTTTAGACAGACACTTATTGAATGTCAGTTCTCTACCAGGTACCATACCAGGTACTGCAAAAATGCATATGAAAAGACTTTTCTGTTTCTCTCTGGTGCTGTGGCCAGCCCCATACTGGATTATATGCTTTTGAAGAGACACATCTTTTTCATTTTTATATCTGCCAGAGCACCTTCACATTATTGAAGGATATCTTTGGATGAGCTGCCTGGTGACATAATTTTATCATTATGAAGTGGGAGTTTTCTTAACAGATAACTGGCCCAATTATGTAATTACTGTCAGAAAGAAGATTGATAGTTCCAAAACCAAAGCCATCATTTTTGGTGGGCATTCCCTAACATTTAATTGGCTTGTAGTTAACCACCCAGTAAAGGAAGTTGACTCAGGAGGGGTACATTTGACCACTATCTTCCTTGGAGAAGGTGCCAGGAAGTTACATAACATAAAGCCTGGCATCCCAAGGGTGCTTAATTGAGATTTCTTTCTGACTGAGGCAAGTACGTGGGGCCATCTGCCTTGGAAGATGTCCCGACTAAAATGACTGTGTCTGAGTTCCATGGAGGAGAACTTTGGGGCCTCAATTGCCTGTTTGTCATGGTTGGAGCAGACCCAAACTTGTCTCCTGAGTAAAATCTTTGTCCTGGCCCTGCCCCTGCCAGCAGTCCACCTCTGCTCAGAGATAAAAGCTGTCTTCTCCTGCTCAGGTGACTTGATGTTTGTGAAAGGATGGCTGTTTGTGTTGTTGGAGGTATAATGTCACACCCTCTTCTGACCCACACTTGATAACAGCTAGGTTGTAAGAGATGCTGTTTGTGAGGACTGACTGAGGGCTTTGCCACCCATACACACATTTCCAAAGTTGTGTCCCTAGAATGATAATAGAAGCACTTGGAAGAAGGCGATCTTAGTTAAGTGCCTTTAGGAATGTAGAGTTAAACAGAGTTAATTAGGTTTAGGAGTCCCTGGGTGGTGCAAATGGTTAACATGCTGAGCTGCTAACTGAAAGGTTGGTGATTCAAGTCCACCCAGAGGCACCTCAGACGAACGGCCTGGTGATCTGCTTCCAAAAAATCAGCCATTGAAAACCCTCTGAAACACAGTTCTACTCTGATACACATGGGATCACCATAAATCAGAGTTGACTTGTTGCAACTGGTTTGTTATTTGGGCTTATTTACTTTTAGCTTGATGATTTCCAGGAGAGGCATAACATTTCCCAGATGTATTTGATCACAGAAGATTTTTCACAGATTAATCTTCTGAGATTAACGGCCAGCAGTATCCTCCGGGGGCCAGGGGAAATGTTCCTTTAGGCCAGTGATTCTCAAACTTTTGGGTTTCAGGATCCCCTTTTTTGACTCATAGTGACCTCATGTGACAGAGTAGAACTGCTCCATAGGGTTTTCTAGGCTGTAATCTTTATGGGAGCAGATTGTCAGGTCTTTCTCCCACGAAGCCACTGGGTGAGTTCAAACCACCACCATTTTGGTTAGCAGCCTAGCGCTTAACCATTGCTGCACCACGGCTCCTTTTCAGGACCCTTTTATACTCTTAAAAATTATTAAGAACTCCAGAGAGCTTCTGTTTATGAGGGCTATATCTATAGGTATTAACTGTTTAGAAATTAAAACTGAGAAATTTTTAAAATATCCATTAATTCATCTAAAATATATAAAAATAGGTTAATATAACATTTTTTGTGAAAAATATATTTTCTAAAGTAATTTAGTGGACAAATAGCATTTTCACTTTGAAAATCTTTTTAGTGTCTGGCTTAATAGACCACGGAATCCTCACGTCTGCTTCTGCATTTCGTCTGTGGCCATATCACATGCTGCATGGCTTGTGGAAAACCATACACATTCATAAGAGGATGAGAGTGAAAATGGCACAAAAGCTTTAGTATTATAAAAATACCTTTGACCATGCTGTTGTTGTTGTTGTTGGGTGCCATTGATTCAATTCTGACTCATAGTGACTCCGTGTGACAGAGTAGAACTGTCCTGTAGGGTTTCCTTGGCTGTAATCTTTATGGAAGCAGACTGCCAGGTCTTTCTTCCGCAGAGCCACGGAGTGGGTTTGAACACCACCACCTTTCAGTTAGCAGCTGAGCACTTAACCGTTGTGCCACCAGGGCTCCATGCAAACCAAAAAAACCAAACCCATTGCTGGCCAGTCAGTTCTGACTCATAGCCACCCCATAGGACAGAGTAGAACTGCCCCATAGGGTTTCCAAGCAGCAGCTGGTAGATTTGAACTGCCAACTTTTTGGTTAGCAGCCAACCTCTTAACCACTGTTCCACCAGAGCTCCATGCAGACCCCTGAAAAGGTATTGAGGACTCCTAGAGGTCCCTTGAGCCACACTTTGAGTCTAGTTTTTTCTTTTTTTTCCTTGGATTTAGTCAGACCTTTTGAGAATTGTGTATCTGGATTGCATTAGTTCCCTTAAAGAGCTGCTTTTAGTGAACTGTGCTTTGGCATGTCCACACTGAGGGAGGTTTCAGGGGACTGATGAAATTTCTTATTATTATTGCTGAAATGAAGTTGTTGGAAACTTCATTTTTTTAAATATCAAACAGTATCCTCTTTAGGAATACAGGTTGACATTTTTTAAATCTTAGAACCAGAAATAGCCACACTGCTGAACAGTTGGTACTTTTCTCTTATGAACATTGAATTTTGTAACTTGTTTCCTTCTTTGTATTGGCTGATAAGAAGCCCTGGTGGTACAACAGTTAAGTGCTCAGATGCTAACTGAAAGGTTGGCGGTTCAAACCCACGAAGTGGCTCTGCTGGAGAAAGACCTAGCAATTTGCTCTTGTAAAGATTACAGCCAAGAAAACTCTATGAGGCAGTTCTACTCTCTGTTACATGGGGTCACTATGAGCCATAATCAACTCAACGGCACCTAACAACAACATTGGCTGATAGGAAGCCCAATCACATTTGTGGACCAGCTTTTTAAAAAGTGCCTAATGTCTTATAGAGTGTATTGGGGCATTAAGTTGATTTCATCCTTTTGTCCCCCTGCCCTTATTTTCCTTCCTGCTTTCTCACTTCAGTTTTCTATCTTATATCGTGTATTAGATCCCTCATTTCAAAATGAGGTGGACGTCAATAGTATTTATACAATTGAAAACCCACTTATAATCTAGTAAGGAAAATGAAGTAAATCCACACACAAGATGAAAATAATGTTGAATATGTAAAGTGCCTTTACAGTAGTTCAGAGTATCTACTAAAGCTGAACAGCTGGAAATCTTGTAACCCTGTAGTTCCACTGCTTGGTATATACATAGTAGAAATGCATCCATAAATTCACCAAAAGACACGTAGTAGAACGTTCATAGGAGCACTAGACACTACTCCAGTTTCCATCAACAGTACAATGAGTACATAAACTTTGGTATTTTCACAGGATGAAATACAATATAGGTATGAGAATGAACAATCTACAACTATACATAAGATGATGAATCTCACAAATATAATGCTGAATGAAGGAAGCCAGTTGCAAGAGTACATACTTTTAGATCCCATACCTTGTTGTTGTTAGCTGCCATTGAGTTGGCCCCCAACTCAAAGCAACCCCATGCACAACTGGGACAAAATGCTGCCCAGTCCTGCACCATCCCCATGATTGGTTGTAGATACATAGGGCTGTGATCCATAGGGTTTTTAGCACCTGCTTTTTGGAAGTAGATTATGAGGCCTTTCTTCATAATCCATCTTAATCTGGAATCTCCACTGAAACGTGTTCAGCATCATAGCAACATGCAAGCCTCCACTGACAAGTGTTAGCTGTGCATAAGGTGCATTGACTGGGAATTGAACCTAGGTTTCCCACATTTAAGGCGAGAATTCTACCATTGAACCTCCAATGCCTCATAGATTGCATAGATAAAGAATAAAAACAGACAAAACTAACCACACTGTTAGAAGTCAGGACAGTGACTGCTCTTAGGGAGGGGGAGGGGAAATGACTGGGAAGGGGCACAAGGGAGTCTTCAGGGTTTGTTCTTTTTTTGTATTTATTTTAGTGTACTCTAGATGAAGGTTTACAGAACAAGCTAGTTTTCTCATTAAACAATTACACATACTGTTTTGTGACATTGGTTACCAACCCCACATGTCAACACTCTCCCCTTCTTGACCTTGGGTTCCCCATTACAAGCTTTTCTGTCCCCTCCTGCCTTCTCATCCTTGCCACTGAGCTGGTGTGCCCCATGAGTCTTGTTTTGTTTTATGGGCCTGTCTAAAGTTTGACTGAAGGGTGAACCTCAGGAGTGACTTCAGTACTGAGCTATAAGGGTGTCTAGGGGCCATACTCTCGGGGTTTCTCCAGTCTCTGTCGGACCAGTAAGTCTGGTCTTCTTTGTGTGTGTGAATTAGAGATTTGTTCTACATTTTTCTCCAACTCTGTCCAGGACCCTCTGTTGCGATCCCTGTCAGTCGGTGGTGGTAGCCGGGCACCATCTAGTTGTGCTGGACTCAGTCTGGTAGAGGCTGTGGTACTTGTGGTCCATTAGTCCTTTGGACTAATCTTTACCTTGTGTCTTTGGTTTTCTTCATTCTCCCTTGCTCCAGATGGGGTGAGACGAGTGAAGTATCTTAGATGGCCGCTCACA